CGAAACATAATAGAATAGTGAGAATATAATACTTTGATCAGAATCATAGCCAATCTATTTGATAAATTTCACAACAGTGCTTCAAGCGATTTTCTCATAGTNTGAAACTAATAAATCAGGAAATGAATTGCGTCGAATCTAAAAAATGAACCGAAACAATTGATGATTGTTGCTCAATAAACTGAAACAACTGCTAGCAAGAGACGTTCAAACTCCGAGCATGAGTCTTCCCTTACGAGTGATTTTGCTCGAAAGCATGACGAAAACTTTGCTACGTTCGATCATAAATATTCATGAGCAGTAACGAATTTTCAGTGAGAATCTCGTTCCTCCACCGAATTTTCCGGAAAGCAAGCTTGTGCTGCATAAAAAATCAACGAAAAAACGTTTCACAAGAGAAAATTTGATAAAATTGAGTTAATTTTGCATGTTCGTTGATTCAGTTCATTTGCATGCATATATAACACAAATTTCCAACGAATTCATCACCAACGACCAACGATGAATACGAATAGCGCAAAAAGATTATCAGTACGATCGTTTAATTAACTGCTGGAATTAGTAGAAACCTTTGATAGATTCGGGATTGCAGTCATTGTCATGCCTCCTCAAATATTCATCAATAGAATCATTAGTGGTGTTTTTCGCTTATTTATTAGCGTGTTTGGTGAAAGGTGTTGCTATTACGTGTAGATATTGTGCCCTTATTTATCAGTGCTGCTTACTATTGCTTAAAACTTTTGTTACTTGCACCAATACTCGTCTCATAATTTTGACCAAGACCATCATAAGTCTTATGTTACTCTGCCTCAGAAATCGAAACTCCCACCTAGAATATGTTGCCGCTCCAACAATTCTTTTGTTCTTATTTCTCTTCACTGCACAACAATACGAACGTTCAAGAATATCGAAAAGAAAGACTTGACAAGTCATGTGGAACAATATTTCTGTGCATTCGAGAAGAGAGCAATAGTTGATCAAGCAGGATCATACGTAGAACTAATGCAAAGTGTTTTCTCAGAATGTACTATTGAAAAAATGCAAGCATCTTCGACTACACGGTATTTTCTGTTGTTCGGTGCACTCGTGATTCGTATTTATATCCGTGGTTATTCTCATTATCGTTTGTATTTGGATAAACATTATTATTACCGTCGCTAATATAAATCATTGTTATTATGATGAATATTCTTGTTGTTATCACAACTTTCACATTCACATGTGTAGTTGATCATGCGAGTTTGTTCATTCATTAGTATCTATTCATATTTGTTTATGAGAAAGATCTGAGGGGCCTGGCGAGAGGAAGTGACACTGAAAAGATTTGCTCATGCGTATTGTCTGATCGAGAATCACGAGTCAATCTCTTGGTCAATGGAGAGAGATACCGTTCAGCCATAAAATCAGTGATGTGCATCCTTAAATAGTAGCTCTTTCCCTGTAGGATCACATTTGTGGTCAATCAAATGTTTGGGTGTGTTGATAACTGAATTAATTACATTTCTGCAGATTGTTGAAACGTAAGCATTAGATCGGAAATAGTGTTAATTCTAGGCAATACTAGTCAATCAAGCAACCTCCAAACTTCAAAGCAATATTACCAGAAGCATTCGTGCATTTCCACCCAGTTTGAATGTCTTAAAAGCAAAGATATGATAAAATCTGATCACACTCGCTAGACGGTATCGCTCGGGCATTCGGGAAAAGCTCCTTTCAAAATTCCATATTTTTCAAAATTCAAGCTTTTTTATCGTACTAATTAAGATTTGAAATGGCTCAGTAAATTCTGATACAATTCCTTTTAGTGCGCACACATTCCTTTTTCACCATGCTAGCATTCAGTACGAATAGCATTAAACACTGATATCCTTTTATGATCATTTCAGTTATTCACTCGCATTGAAAGACCATTCAATAGGTGTTCTGAATAAAATGTATCAATCGATTGCGTCTAATGAAAATGCTCTCTCTGTAGTTTCAGTAGCTATAAATCCCTTCTTTTGACTGAAATGCAGAGGATAAATTCCTTCTGAAATGATTCTATTCGTAATGCTCGAAGCCTTAGAGAGTGGAAAGCGAATGGCTGTGAACCAGTCAAGTTCAGTGTCAGTCATTGACGACCTCATATCCCCAAACACCTTATCAGCGATCCACGCTTGTTTCAAGAGAGAAAGAGAGATTTGCTGCGTCTTGGATAAGTAGTAAAAAATTTCTCACTAAGTCTGATTTTTCGTTCTGATTTTTCCCTTGCATGCGCTTATCATATTTTGATTGCTGAAGAATGGGTGTAATCATCGCGCTATACCTAATTTTCAATGAAACGAAATGAACATCGAACATGAGCAGAAAATGCTTGAATTACTTGGATTGCGTGAGCAACCCTGATGAAAAGGTCGACGAGCATCACCATGGAAATACTTTTGTAACGATTCGAAAAGTGCAAACACTCGATCGAGTATATGCTGAATTATCGGATGAGCGCTGAAAGAAGTCAAAACTTATTTGAGTGAATAAATGTATCGTATGGCAGTGAAGGGAATTGATACATCGAGCAGCACCGACCGCATCATGCATACACTTGTAAATGCGTATAGTTTATAGTCTCGTGGGCACATGCCCATTCAAATGAATTATTCATTGATGAAATATCAACTCATCTTGAATTGCCTTCATTAGTGCGCATCTCGTAAGTGGGAACATATTTCGTGGAGTTTTTCGTGAGCTATATCCAGTCGAGCCATATCCATGCACACTTTCGTCTCAATTTTGACATCTTTTGGTAGTCAATCAGTAAACTCAATGATCAACGAGTGCTCGTAATATACACCGTATCCCACTTAATATATACTGATTTATAGTATAAGTAGCAATAGCTATCAATGAATTTTCGCATTTTTTGCAGTTTTAACAGTTATTTTTTTGTTCATTCATCGAACGTCACCTAATTTTTGATTTGAGATGAGAGGGAAGCTGCTCATCAACTCATCAATCTTGCGTTGATTATTGCAAGAAGAAGCAACCAAATTTAGCCATTTATATCCATCATTCAAACGCGTACGTTCATCCATCTATGTGTTCGTAGTGATGCTCTCCAATTGGGCATTTTGAGGATATGAGAATGTTTTATTTGTAAGGGAACATTGAACACTAAATGAGAAATAAGTCGAATTTGTATTGAGAAACAATGAATTATGAGGAGAGTCATTTGTAAGTTCAAGATGATGACACATGGAAATGACGCCCTATTTCGGGCAATAATTCAATTGCATTTCTACTCAACTGATTGAGCTGTTTTTGTGTGAAGATGAACGACTGTTATGAACGAACGCTTCGCCATTCACCATCGTGCTCTGCAAAAATGCTTTCATTCATTAACAATCTCGACCATGAGCACACAGATTTTTTTGACATGATTCATGACATAAGAGCAACCAATTCATCGATAATCCCATTCTATGGAATTGTTTCTGTAGTGCGGACTCAATTCAGTACGCTTGAAAATGATCACGTGTCAGTGTTCGTGTGATAAGGGCACATCAATGAGTCTTCTCGCTTAACTTTCTCATTCCTTATGAGATTAAATTTGAAGAATTTTCACATGAACACACATGACTTAATCCGGGATCACATCTAGAGAACTTTACTTCAGGTAAGTCTTCTGAATGAATTTGAATATCTTTTGTGGTTTAGCTTTGCGATCCTGAGTGGTTTAGCAGGAGGATGGAGATGAACAGGGCAAAACAAGGATATAGTGAGGAGTGATGACTGTAAAGAACTGTTGGATCAAGTTTGTGCACTAGGAGATAGATNAATTGAAGAAGACCCAAGTAAGCGTGCATATAAACGATGGCATAATGCGGATGGGTTGAGCAAGCTCCATAAGCAGCCTACAGCGCTATTAAATCTAGTCTAGTATTGTGTATGGATGCTTACTGACAAGAAGCTGTGCATCTGCTGGTGAGATATTACAACAAAGCAGTTTATTTGACGCACATTTACATGTATGTGACAAACTTGCTGCACATTGCCATGCAGCTGCTGTTCATTCCCATTGGGAATACTGTTGAGCGTTCATAACAAGAAACAAATCAACAATGCAAAGTCGTACTTAAAAAGTTGAGTTCGTAACAAGCACTGCTCGATTTGCAACCGTCATCTGACTGAAGACGGTGCCAACCGAGGAAATCCTGTAGCTGAAGTATCCACCATTTGAGTACGTTTGGATCTGACAAGTTTTCAGTATTTATCGGCAAAAGCTTCGGAAAATGAGCAAATCGTTGCAGATTTTCGATTTGTCCATTCGAATAAAAACTGAATGAACCGAGTAAGCGTGTTACATATTTCAGGCGAGCTGTATATAAGCGGAACTCAAGGCACCTGCGCCGACTCAGCAGGTTCAATTCTCATTTGCATTGATTACATTCGTTATGCAAATTTTATTCATGTCTGCTCAAAACAAACATTTTGTTGACTTTGAATTTAAGGCACGCGAGGAACTCGCTTAAAGTTAATTTACATAATAAATTCCAAGCATTAACATCATGAGCATTCATCGTATGAAGAAGCGATGTTTCTTGCTCGAAAATAGCACTCAATAAGATTGTGCAGTAAAAATAGCCGAAACATTCAATGGCCACTTTTCAAAAGCCAATCCATTGCACACGTGCAACTGATTTATTGTCCTCGAAACAATAAATCAAGCATAAGTTTACATCTCGTCATCTTTGGCTTCTGACCGAAATGTGCTGAAAATAAGATATGGCAAGGAGAACAGCACATGAGTTAGCATTGTTCGTGTCATTCCGAGTGATTTTGACCTTTTCAATTGTCCAGATTTCTAGTATACAGAGCACTAAGTGAGTCGTTTTGAGCACTTCCGCTATTGATAATCATCAAAGTTGCTGGTGGTGGAGTTAGCTCCATCGAAAGTACTCACAACTACCTGGAGCAGAAAATCGCTCATTCACGGGATCAATTGAGTGAAGAGTTTTGCGAGCAGTTACAGATTGTATGACTGGGAGGTGGACGAGCACGGGGGACTGCGGCCGATGGTTGACGCAAAACGCGGCGCTGCACACGCGATCAGGAGTCGATCACGGCCGTGTGCGAACGATTCGTACATTCTGGAGACGATCCTCAAGAAGTATAACCGCCATAAAATACCTGGTGGATCGGTGAACGTGCAGGTGGAGGTGTGGGTGCAGGAGATCACAACCATCAGTGATATCACTTCTGACTTTCAGGTTAAAGCAACGAAACTTTTGCTGTTTCATATCAACTCGTTTCTGATCCAAAAACACAAAGAGAAATTTCGTTTTTGCAACGGATCGTCGTGATTCATCGCTCTCGTGAACGCATTTCCAATGCATACTTCCAATTGCCATCCTAACTGCATATTCACTACAAATGCTTAATTTTCGAAGTTCGAACTGATAATTTGAAAAGTTTGACTAACTTCTACAGCTGGACATATACATAAGCGAAATGTGGTTAGATCCGGCGTTGGACTATTCATGGATGGATCCGTGTAAATATAATTTATCGTTGAATAGTGTTTTACTCGAGAAATTGTGGACACCAAATTCGTGTTTCATCAACTCAAAAACTGCCGACATTCACAGAAGTCCTTTTCCAAACATCTTTCTCATGATCTACGCAAATGGTTCCGTATGGACGAATTATCGCCTCAAGTTACAAGGTGGTTTTCTTGCACTTTCATCAATGATTTACATACAGACAGCAATCGAACCGTCGAAATTTCTGCGTATACCAATGATTGCCCACTCGTAGCTGCAATAATTCGCTAAATAATCATTTATAGAGGTTGAAGTTTTCATGCGGTATATGATATGTTCGAATGAGTATTTGAAAATCAACGTTTTTTATTTTGAAATCTATTTAATGAGTAATGATGAGATTTTGTTTGTTTGCCTCTATCTTATTTCAGACACAGTTCATTTGTGATCATTTGAATGAAGATAGAATGTTCAAAGATAGATTGATTGAACAGTTCCGTGATTGATCTTGAAACGACTGTGATCTTAAACTGGAGCAACAAAGCTCAAAATATATCGCAATTTTTCCATGAATCAATAGGTGCATTGAATATGCGTGTATTTGTCATCCACATCTAGCCGTGAATACATCCACACTAATCTACCCACGGATTTTTCCTGCTTTCAAACAGCCGAAAAAAGTTGTTCACTCAGTTTTCGAGTAAACTTCGACACGTCTCAGACAAAATTTCTTTGCATGTGTGGGCAATTCTTTTTCCGTGATATTTTAAGCAGTAATGAGTTTTCGCAAATTCTTCAGTGTGTATGCTTCCCTCATTTCACACCCGGCACAAGGTGGTTTATACATCATTCAACTAATACCGAATTCAATATGGGTAATTGAATGAGGCCCATTAAAATACATGAATTATTTATAATGCCGCAAATTCAGCTCTAAAGATGTGTAGCATGAAAATCAGTGAACCTTCGCAAATAATTTCATTTCTACTCCAAACACGTTCAAATCAAATTCAAGTCTCCTGAAAAAACGCGACAACGTTTCGTGTGCTGCCTTGTGGCGACGAGCATGATCAAATCATCACGCATTTATGGAATCAATGAAGCTTTCTTTCTTCAGTGCTATTTATGCACCTAAAATGTTTTTTGGTCCGAAAGCTGGATCGGTACACATTTCGATTTCAACAAATTGTTGCCTTTTTGCAAGCGTAATTCCAATCAAAGCTAACATTTGCTGGAAAATCTGACTGACAACCACCAATAAAAAGGATGTTCAATGTGAACTTGTTCATAACAATCGACCTAGTCGAATATACATCGATCTAGATTTGTTATGATGAATATTGATCATTTAACTAAATAAATGCAATGTCTAAAGTTTCCATTTGACCTCAAGTATTTCAATACGCTTTACTGTGAAATAAGATTGGTATGAGGTATTCGTAACCTAGTTTTTAGACTGATAACGGTGGTATTTTGAAGCGAAATTTCGTTTCTGAGAATGAATGATTTCGTTTGGATTGCACGAATATCTTCAAAATAAATTTGAGTGATTGCGCAACCAGAAAATTGAGAAATTGCATCTTCGAAAGAAGCACTTTCTGTCAATTTTGTTTATTTATTGATGGTTTGTTCAGTTGAACAACATTTGAGATAGGTTGAAGATATTTTTCATCGATAATTAAAGAGATTCATCAAAAACACTTCACACCCCAGGAACAGCATAAATCCAAACAGAGATCACTCAAAAGTTATCGAAAATAAAAAGGATTTTACTTCCTGAATATGTCTCACCAGCAACATTTTCAACAAAACCCATCACTTTCTGATTTCAGGTCCCTGTGAGATGGACCTAACCCGTTTTCCTTTCGACAATGTCACTTGTTCACTTACATTCGAAAGTTTCAAGTTAGTTACATCGATCGACTTCCTTGTGTGATTTCTCAAGCACACGGTGTTGATGGCCTTATCACAGCATGCTTCGTCTGTAATCTTACCTCAGAATGTGTATTCTTACGATAAAAACTTAAGAGTAAACCTGAAACCCATCGCTCAAACCGAATTTAAGACATCTCCAGTCTCAGTACTCCTGTACGATGGACTAGAAGACAAAGTTTTAATGTTTGATCTTGAGTCGCGTCAAAATTCATTACGACTAGTTGATGTCGCAGTTAAATGAGCATGAAGATTTGCGTCGTTTCAGTTATAATACAGATGAAGTGCAGATGTCATGGTCACCGTTGGGAGTTTCAAAAATGCGCGAAAAAATGGAACTTGCCGACTATGAATTAACCGGAATCGAGAATCTGAGAGCATCTGAGGTGTGTAAACCTTGGTTTTTTCACTCTGCTAGTTGCGGTCTTCATGAGATTTCTTCCAGGAATGCTCACATTTTCAGTCGTTCATTTGCTACTTCAATAAGATCTCTATATTTCAGCCTTATCCTGCGGGATTCTGGCATGAACTAACGATGAAATTTCGCTTCAAAAGACGTGCCGGATGGTATATATTGCAAGCATACCTCCCTACATATTTAACAATATGCATTTGTAAGTTTTTATTCGGAGCAAATAACAAATGCTCAAAGATTAGTGGCTCAAACTTTGAAAAACGAATTATTAAGGGATATTGATCACCAAGAGAGCAAAATTAGGTTATGAATAATGTAATTCATTCGTTGCATGCTATCGGTCTTGCATTCTAGTTTTCGTTTATATGCTTAAAACATGAATCTGAGGATTGGTCTCCGTAAAAGAACGATGTATTGACTGCGAAATAAGTCATGAAATTGTACTTTCGTCAGGCTGAGATTGTTTAAATATATTAGAGCCTTGTAGCATATAGTATTTCTGCCTAATAGTGTGTCTGAACAGGTTTCAGAAGGTGATCATTGTATGAATATGCAAAACTTGATCAAATCTGCTAACTGATACCAGTTTTTCGCCAGTTGTTCTTGGAACTTATGTGAAACATCAATGTTGGTCTTAGGATCCTTAGCGGTATTGCTGGGAGTTTTCAGTGGAATCTGAATGCGGAACGAAAGCAGAGCATAGAGGGTAATTATGGAATGCTTGGCGACCAATAGGAATAATGCAAAAAAAATTGATGAAGGAATGATTTCTGATACGATATTGCTCATACATTCAGTCCATCATACTGGGCTTGAATCGTAGTCTGTTTCTATTCAACTGAAATTGGGTTTCTTTGCACGTTTCTTCTTCTTCTTTGAAGTATATGCGAGCAAATCGCTGTGTTTTTAGTTGGTATGTCCTACTCTCACAGCAATTGCTGGCAACCGTATTTTACGATTGGAGCGCATTGATGGCTTTATGAATTTTTCAGTGAAATTCTCACACTAACGATAAGTGTGTTTAGTGGATGTGCTCGGTTGCTTCCGCAAAACTCTTCCACTCCACTCCATCAACCAGTGGCTGAGCCAACCGAGCGCCTATACCTATTGATTCGTGCCAACTTGAAGTATTTATGACTTATCCATCATTGTGCCACTAAAATCGTAACGTTACTGGAGTATTTGTTGAGATTGCTATATGAACTGATCGATTGCAAAAAACTTCAGAACATTCCCAGGGGTGATTGATACTCATAAAAGCGTGATACTCGCAAATGATCTTCTAAAAACTATGGAAAGCACTGTTCTTTACTGATGAGAATTGAAATTTGAAATTGACATTATGACATTTGAGTGAAGACGTTTGATTTGAAATAGCTTATTGTTAGATATGGAAACTCGATAAAAGTTAAAGAATGACGTGCATGTAGACGGCATGATGAGTTTTAGCGATCTGACTAAATATCAGCTAAGTGGTTGATGTTACCAACGGTTTCAGTGACGGATATTGAAGGTTTACGCCATCATCGAGGCACATAACTGGGTTGCGTCAAAAATGTCTTCGATAAAAAGATGACATGAATGTAATGCATTTATCAACAATCGTAATCTTCTCTGCTAAATGTAGGCTGAAACTAATGGTGATGTTGACAATGTAAATATATGTGTTGTGAAGTGGTGGATGAAACGAGCGAACTGCTCTTTGAACAGCAAAGAATTTGATGCAGTGGAACCAAAAAAGATGAGCGTGTTCATTATGCCGCTCCAATCGAGCTCAACGCCAATGACTCGGGATCCGGTTTGGCACTAGGGACAAGGCATGAACCAAGCAGAAAGATGCGACTCTAATAATAATGAAAAACGAAACGAACAGCAAGCACATCATGAGCAATACTATAGGTTCCACATGAAATGGACCGATTGGATATAAGAAAAGGCATAAAAATGTACTGCTAACAGCAAGTCTATGGAAAATGCATGATGTGTATATACAAATGTTTGACAAGCAGTCACAAATATGCATAAATAAATGACCATGTTTTTGTGTAAGTGTACGAGTAAGAGTTGGTATAATATCTAGTATATTCATCTTATGCCCATGAAACTATCAAGCAACAAAAACGATCTTCTGAGAAGCAAATTGAATTGAAAAGTGATATTTTCATTTGCTGCCTCTTAGTATTAGCATACGCCGCTAACATGTACATACCAGTATGTTTGTTGTGTCAATGTTCTTGCCATCTTCATGCTCTCTTGTTAGTGAATTGGCCGTATCGATGAATTCCCCTAAGGGACCTTATTTTGTTCTTCACTCGGCTTTGATCTTCAAACCAACTTCTCGGAGAGAAATTTACTGATTCATTAAATGAGTTTGACATTAACACATTCGCTCCATTGAACAATGGAATGAAGGAGTAGAAGAAAACAATTGGGGATACTCAAAACAATACTTTCAGCATGGATTTCGTTCGCTCTTGGATCGAAGGCAATCCCAGCACGAACGATGCTCGGAGTGAATTCACTTCTGGCGATGACTTTTCAGTTTGGAAACATCATACGAAACTTGCCTCGAGTCAGCTATGTAAAGGTGAAAACCAGACTTTGTCCATCCCATTTTTTCAATTCTCATTTAAACTTCCACGGAAACATAAAAAAGAGACATTGAGTTCTCCACGGATGCATGAAGCGGCCGAGTTCTAATGAGAAGTAAATTGCAGAAAGTCATTATTAATCATAAGATACGTTAACCGCTCTAGAACGCATCGCCCATGAAAATTTTAGTGCTTTTAATAAGACCGACTGATCATAAGAAGAGGCATAAAAATGTACTAAGCCTAAGGATGCAGTGAACTTCATTGATATGTTAATGGCAATATCATTGAATGAGCACTTCATTGAGTACTTTGGAGTTTGAATCAAATCAGCCAGGAATAAATTGTTTAAACTGCTGAAGGCAATTGATGTATGGATGCTGAGCTGCATGACGTTTGTGTTTTGTTCATTACTCGAACTCGCATGGGTTGGTTATCTGAGTCGAGAAGAGGACGAACTTGCGGTGAAAGCAGCAATCCAAAAGGCCTCTTCCTCGCCGATGCCATCACCTGCGACCAATGTGGTCAGCCCTCGACCACCTCATTACGAAAGTAATTCTGCTTTGCATCGGTCAGTCCTTATTGAACAATCCCTCTATTTGGTCGTTTAAGTCTTATGTCTCTTTAAGTCTTTAAGTCTCTTTAAGTCTCAATTCCTTTAATATAAACGATATACATTCAAAAACTCGTTGAGTGTAAAACTCATTGATTGTATACAATTAAGTTTCAGTTTAACTTTCAACATTTACAACCCTGTCGTTTTTTTTTTGTTGCAAAGTTCAGTTTAGGCATTCTGATACTTATTTGTCTATGAATAGGAACTTCGATGCCTCCTACAGTGATGCAATGTTTTGAATAGTTCATCACTGAAGCATCATCTCAACTACTGAATCTCAAAGAAACTTTGGATCGAAAAAGACTTTTTCCAGCAGTTTGATCGACAAAGACCTGTTTTCAATCGATCACCACTGCAGAAGATATCTGTTTGTATTTGTTGGTAATAATTGCAGGAGAGGTTACACTTCCGAAGAGGAATGTGCCCTGATGAGTTTAAGAGACAACGATTACGGGTATATTCCACCGGGATACGGCCTTAATGGGAATCTGAAGTCAGCGATGGCCTCATTCGCTGGACCTTGCGCATGCACTAAAGAGGAACCTCCCGAAGTATATGCACCTATATTGCAGTCAGCGGCCGAATTGGCTGCTTATCGAGCTGGACAAAATGTGAGTTTGTCTCTTTGTCCATGTCACGTTCACATTAAAAGTTGTCCACTCTTTCTAGAGGAAATTTCAAAATTTGCAATAGTCTTGAATGCACCTCAGCTATTCATCAGTCAAATATTTTCGTTACTACTTCACGAGTAAGTGACCGCATCTCATCAAAATCACAACAAAAAAGGATCATTTTCCTAAACTTATCTTCCCTGCAACCGTAGTCATAGCTGAACACTTACCACAACGAAGATAAATCTTACTTTGACGATACCTCGGTTGGAGAATACTTCGAGTTGTTGTGTTCATGACATCAATGCATACTCTGGAAAGAAATTTGAACCAGATGATATAGGAACAACTAAAGTTTTGAGTTTTGTTTTTGAATATTTTGTGTAATAGCAATACAGGTGTTAAAATGTCAACATATTTCATCTACGAATATACCCCTAAATAAAAATAAGCTTTATTTCAGGAACATTTGGCATTACAAATCGACAAGCTGTCGTCAATCCTATTCCCTTCATTGTTCAGCGTCTTTAATATAGCCTATTGGTATCACTACCTCAATGATTAAATTCGAATCTTATTATAATTTATGATTGATAAGGCGCACTCTTCCTTTCATCTCAGTCTTTGATGCTTCTCAAAAACCTCATCGAATTGCCGCACACACTTATTCTCAATCGTAAACGAACAAAATCAGAACATAAAATCAGAATGAGTCTCGGATACAGTAATTCGTCATGTGGCATCCAAAACAATTCATTTTTTGGATGCTGAAAGTGGAAAATTATGCATAAAATTTGAGAATTAGACATTCGGGAATTGTCCAAAGTTAAAATTGCTGGCAGTTAAGAAGTAGAATCGTATAAACCTTACATTTAGTGGTTTGACGTGATATGACGTCCTCACTAGGATTAATGTTTGAACGCTCAAAAGTGGGAAATGATACGATCTCTGTGATCAACTTCATACAATGTGCGGTGAGCATGCGATGAGCAATGGAAACGGTATTCAAGAACATGCAAATGTTGAGTGTTAGGTGGATAAAGGCGCCCAAAGTTGTTTTTACTAATTTTTGCTCAATGAATAAAGCAATATTTTCACTTATTATCGACGTATTCTTCATTGATAGAACAGCTCATTTTGATATTGTATTCGTGTTTCATATTAATTTTTGCATGTTATTTTCTATCCGAAGAGCACAGAGCGTATTATGTATTAGTCGAATAAAGTCATTCAAACATCTTTGCTTCATCAAGTTTCGGTTGCCTACAACTCGACAGTGGTAAGTTCGAGATAATTCATTCGAGATAATTCATTGTTGGCTTGATTTTCTGGCCATTCTAAACGTGGATCTTCTCGGGCTGATAAAATGACATTGTTCAGTCATAAATTCAGCATCATTCATTCACTGATAGCAAAAATAAACATACTTTCCGAGTGTCAAACATTGTCTTTCATGGAGCAAATTAACATCTTGCAAATACTCCTATGAGCTTTTCGCTTTACATGCAATCCTCTTCGGTGTAATCATCCAAAAAACTCACGATCACTACACTGAACTTATTTTCTGCGTTAGACGTGAACATAACAAGCATATTACAAGACAAAACTGAAGCAATAGATTAGCTGATTGCAAGTGAGCATGAGTGTGTTTCACCTTACATTAGTGAATATGAATGTACGTAATTTTGTTTTGATGATACCAAGTATCATATAGATATAGTGGTTTGGACAGTGTATGCAAGCTGTTGTTCGAATGCATACTAAAGTTGCGGAGAAAAGTAATGCTTTTTGCAGTGAAAAGAGTGACTTCATTTGGTGCAGATTGATCACAGTTATACATTATTCGGGCATGATCATAGTCAACATAATCATCATAAAATCTCATACGCATGGGATTCGGAATCACCATTTCGAGTATCTTTTTGATTGCAAATATTTTGATTGCAAATTTGATTGCAAATACTCCAATACTCCAAATACTGATAACCCTTTCATGCAATCTTTAGTATTACGATGTTTTTCTCGGATGAAACTCATCAAATTCTGGAATTTATGACTGAAAACAATCGTTGTATTGAGATTAGCTTATCTTAAGATGGTGGAAAACGCAGGGAACTTTTTGAATTCTGGGAACTCGGTGCAATCTGATGATGCAAGAACTGAAAGCGTGACTGATGAAAAACTGTAATAAACATAGCGTGGTTATCATAAGGAGTTCATGAATCATAGAGTTAATAAACTGAAAATACTTATGAACTCGTTAGTTTCGCATGATTTCGTTCAGAGTTCTCCAACTCAACGCGATCAACAGCTTCTGCGTTCATGTCAGCTACTTCTTCATCAAAAGGTGCAAATTAATTAGGCATTAATAGAGGAACAACTGACAGATTTGACTATTGTCATAAGACATAAATATCCATCGTCTAATCATGTAACAAATCAGGTTTGTGAGGTTTGAGCGCATAAGCATCAGTTCTCACAAGAATTTGCGTACTGAAACAAAATAGCGAGTAAAGGCTTAAAATTTCCGATCCCGTCAGTTCGAAATATTTTATGAGTGGAGTTATAGCATCATAAAATTTAAAGTTTTATTCTTGAAAGCATCACTCAAACTATAACATTAAGAATGAACTGTATCATTTCAAAGGAAACAACGTTATATCGATCACAATAGAACAAATGAACGTCATCAGATTAAACGAATGATCATCATCAGTAGATCGAAACCAAAATTCTTGGAATTCTTATTATTGAGGATGCAGAAAACAATCTGACAACCTAAATCATTCGATTAAGCAATTTGAATCGTACCAAAACAATTCATTCAGTAATCTCAAAGAGAATCGCCTAGAAAACAATCAAATTCATCAACGTAAAGTATGCCAGAGACACGTCAACTCGTAATGAGTTGTGACTGCTGATGAACTAAGCGAGTAATAACTTCTTCTGATGTGATGCGAGCCGATAGGGAATCTTCAAGGATTTTCCGAACATATGACGAACTTAGAGTGCAACATTCCACCGGAATTCAGAACATCATCGAGTAAAATTTAGTGCGAGGACCAAATGGCCTCAGCACGCGGTCTAAGGTGGTTGAATCGAAATTTGATAAGTCCAGCCAGCATCGTTCCATAAAACAATGCTTCTTATCGTAGATGAACAAAACATAATGGTTCACTGAAATCGAGCAAAGTCATGAAAACATGATATAATTTGTAGGAACTGGACGTGAACTGCTTTTCAACATTTCGTAGCAGAAGCATGTGTATAAGATGAGATAATTGAGATGCAAACCACCAAAGAATCATTCGACTGAAGAAAATTTAATGATTCTTTTCTGACAGAGACTTCCTCGAATGGGTTCAAGAATGATTCTTGAAACTTATGCATAGTTATGGCAGGTCGCAGACCAATTCTCGTCTTCTCATTTACGATGAGGTTATAAGCTGATATGAATGCATATTTAGAAATTCCGATTAGAAATTTCTCTCTTACCATAATTTTTCGCATTGTTAGCTGATTACCGATACGTGATGAGGAACATATCACTCTAACGATGACTGTGTTTTCAAAAAATTCGCTTCAGAATCCAGATTTCGCTGCACCATTTGGGGTAAAAGGGTGGAAAATGATTTTTGGGAATAAATTTTGGCTCATTTCAAAATTTAGCATGCCGCCATCCTGGGTTCGAGATATTTGAAAATGATTCACAAATATAGCAAAGCTGATTGAAATGTGATTGATTTTAGTTTCTTAAAGCAACCGAAAGTTGAACGAATTTAAAAGGAATTCAATGACGAGTATAGCAACTTTTTTCATCAATGCAGCTATTCTCGGCCGTAAGTATTAATGGTGCCACCAGAGCGAGGCTCATGACGAATGCGGATGAATAAAATTGGCTTTGAGCGGTAGTAATCGAAAGTAATTTGGATTTATTTCGTTAGTTCAGTTGAGCGCAACGTAATTATTGCGGGAGTGTGTGTGGATGTCTTATAAACAGGGATGGATATCTAGAGCCACATGCGCAATCGTCGTCATCATTAAGTGCTTCTGTTGGTTTCAGCGGAAATAATCGTAAAATTTCTTGTTGCCTCGCTCTGCCTGGGTAATAAAATTGCGGCGAGGAATTTGCCACACAAATAGATTGTTTTCGTTAGTGGTATCGAATTTGTGAATTGAACTGAGTCGGTAATATGCACAGCATACGGCCTGCATATTACCGATCTAAGCCTAAGCCTAACGGTGTGCTTGTTGGATTCGTTTATTCGTTTGTCTGCGATACTGTCGCATAAGATCAGTTATCATCGCTTCACTCATTTATGTGTGCTTCTGTTTTTTGCATAAAGTCACTCTGAATTCGTGATAATTGTTGGCAGAGCACAAATTGTATTCTAGTAGGAACGTTTTCGAAGAAAATTGTGTCCTTGAGAAGAGATTTTTACGGATGAATCAATGCTAAAACAGATTCACTCTACTTGTTTGTATAATATCACGGACAAATAGATCTTGAAGAAGACAATGAGTGAACTCATCGACGTTTATTCGTTGCCGCTCCGTTCAGTTGATAATTTAAAAAGAGTAACATTGATTTTCGAGTATTTTAATGAATTGTTTCGTTGATGGCATTTGAATGATCGGTTATAGCGTTTGAACACACGACTAGAATCAGAACATCGAAATGCTCGTAAGATTAGGATCATTAGAAGATCATTAGTTGAAGAGAGTAGGATTATTAGCTGAAATCTAATGGCATTGATTTTCATCGCTGGAAGGCAGTCTTCGTTCGAAACTTGTCAGGTTCTTTGAGATGAATGCATTTTCATTCTTGACGATCATGTCATGGCTGCCACTTGGATTCACTTTTGACGAACCATCAAGCAAAACCTACCGTGATACATCTCACCATCCGACCACTTACTCAGCTCGAATTAATCTTCAAACTGTTGCTCTTGCTAATTTTCATTGGTCCCTAATTGTTCCTATTTGATAGGATTGTAGAGATCAAATCGTGAACGACAAGTGGATACGAAATGCAGTGCAGAGAATCGAAATTATAGATAAATTTTCTGGTCGCAGCCTAAGAGTACAGATTTCTAACACTCTAATCCCCCTGCAGTGCTCATGATAGATCGGGAAATATTCTGGTAAAAACCGCTGTGCACTTTCTTGATTTTTATGAATATTTAAATCAGTTTTCTTGAATTTGCCTGTCAGCTTCAGTTTTATGAAACTAAAAAATGGTTTGAATAATGATGATAGGATAGAACATATCAATCATTTAAACGACATTCCATGCATTCATAATGTCTTTCAATTCTCATTTTCCACTCTTGCAGCTTTAGCCAAATATTACCCTTCTGATTTGCTGGCAGAGGTATTTTGTGGTCCTCTGCAAAGCTGAGTATCGAGTGAGCATGGAAACGTCTTTAGAAGATCGACAGATTTTGAAATATCAAACTTCAGTTCTGATGTCTTTGGGGAATCGACTTGCTCAAGAGTTTGCCTGCTCAAATCCAGACTCATGAGGATGACGAATGATCGAATATCTCGTAGACCTAGCCACAT